CATCAGCAATTTTAGAACATTGCTCTCAGCACAAAAAGAATAACCCACAATTATCATATTTCATCCCATCTTTCAACTCCATCCCCAGCCCTCAGCAACCAAAACACTTGTAATCTACTTTACAGATCCCATTTCTTCTGGAGATGATGGCTTCTCTGGACACTTCCTGTAAATAGAATCATCTACTCTCTGACCTTTTGTAGATGTCTTCTTTCATTTAACACAGTGATTTAAATGTCTAGCAGTGCTGTAGCACATATCAGGATCTCTTCCTGTCTGTGGATGTATAACTGTTTATCAGCTGTTAAACGTCTGAGTTCCTTCTGCCTTTGGGCAACTGTGACTAATACTGTTGTGAACATTTTTGTGTGCATATCTGCATGAACATATGTTTTTGTCTTGAGTACTTATCTAGCAGTAGAATTTCCAGGTCATATGGAAAGCCCATGCTATTCATGTTTTCCAATGTAACTGCCTCATTTTACATTATCACCTTACATACGTAAGGGTTTAGATTTCACCCTAACACTTGTTAATACTTCACGTTTTTCTGTTCTATATGTTTCATTGGTATTGTTGATATTTTTATCTGATTTGGCACACAGTAACTGTAAGCATTATGAAATAAAAGGTGATATTTAAATACATGGCTGCAATATGTAATGATCAGGAAATTTGGTATGGCTTTCATCTTAGATATTTGTCGTTTGTGTTGACAATTTCCATCACTGGAACTGAAAGATATTACACTAACTGAAATAATCCAGGCACAGAAATACAAATTCTTTGTGTTCTCACTTATGTGTGGAATTCCAAAGTCAATCATTGATCTCATAAAAGTGGAGACTAGAGCTAGGTGTGGTGGCACATGTCTTTAATCTCAGACCTTGGGAAGCAGAAATAGGCATGTTTCTGAGTCTGAGGCCAGCTTGGTCTATATAGCAAGTTCCAAGACAGCCAAGACTACATAATGAGAGAGACCCTAACTTTACAACATTAGACAGTAGAATAATGGTCAACAGAGCCTAGTAAGAGGTGGGATGTGGGAATGGGGGGGAATAGTTTAACGATGCAGTTGGGTAAGTGGAATAGCCTTCAGTGTTCTAGAAAGTGAGAAGACAGTAATTGACAACAATGAACTATTTCCAAGCAGCAGAAATGAAACTTTCATTTTCACTGTCCATCATCATTGTTGTCATTAAAACTATTCCCACTCAAAGTCCTAGAATCTTGAGTTGAATGATTTCTCCCTTATCTAGTTGCCAATAGATCCTGAAATGACTTGCAAGGTAAGCGGTAGCAGGAGAATGGCAAGGCCCACATCACCTACATAAAACAACAGCCCCAGAGCTGTATCCTCTGTCCTTTCTGAATATTGCCAGGATCCCAGCATGGTGAAAATGTCCCTTCTATGGGCTTAACTCCACAGTTTTGCTCTCTTTCAACTGGCTCCCTCTCTGATTCAAATTTCTATATATATACATCTGTTCCTCTGTTGCTTTGTTTGTTTATTTGTTTTGCTGTGGGCGACTGTCTTTATCAGCCCTACTTTGTTGGGGTCTGTGTCCAGCTAAGAACTGGCCAGAAGCTTCTCTATACAGAAATGCAAACCATCAGAGGAAGCCACAACTAGACACAATGCAGAGATTAATAGATTCTGGGGAGCCCAGCCCCAACAGATGCATCAGCACCACAGCTACTACATCTAAAGCTCAGAGAACATCATGGAAAATGGGGCAGAAAGATTCTAAGAGCCAGAAAACCAGGAAGCCTGCTATGAAACAGTCAGTCGTAGAAATGGCTGCATAAACAAGGCCAGAACGATGGCAATTAATAGACATACTAATGTGAAATGGGGGATTTCACAGGGTCCCACTCCTAGACAGAGAACAATTGCTGGGAGAGGGAAAAGTAGCCTCTCCCAGTGGTAAGGCCCCCTTATTGGCTATCCAGTACAAAATGGTCAGCCCTGAAACCACACACACATAAATAATAAAATTGGACTCAGCAAGGTGCATTTATTTATTTGTGCATAAATACCACACACACACACACACACACACACACACACACACACACACACACACATATATATATATATATATATATATGCATGCAACCATAATAATCAAAGAAGAAGAGACTATCAGTTTGGGAATTGGGGGAAGATGAGAGGGTTTGGCGGGAGGATACCTGGAAGTTACTTAGAGGGAGAAAAGAGGAGGGGCAAAGCTATGTAACTATTTTAATTAAAATGTATTAAATTTTGGGGGGATATATATTAAATAACAAAGTTGGAAAAGGGAACTGACTAGTAAGTTTCCCCACAGTTTTTCTCTCATATCTGAACTTGACACTTGTTAACAAATTAAGACATTCTGCAGCTGTAACAGAGAAAGTTAAGGAAAACTCTTGCCTAAGGTGGTACTATGAAAGAGGAAATCACAGGGAAGACAGCCCAAGGACACCTTACTGCAGCCAGCATCACTCCAGCACCCTTCCAGGAAGGAACCCCATGGGCTATTGGTCCCCAGCTAGGCTGACCCATACCTCACCCTGTCCCTCCCTGTGGGGCGGGGTCCGATATCTTCAAGAAGGCTTGTGGGGTCAGTGGCCAGGAACAAAGTCTGGGACCTGGGGAGCGACGGAGCAGAGCACACAGGTGGATTCTGATGAGACACCAAACAGGTCAGCATGGAAGGGGCAGGAGCAAGGTGACAAGGCAGTGTGAGGGGCAGGGGACAGGAAGACACAGAGGGAGGAGATACAGAAAGCTCAAGCGCCTAGAATGGGCTGCAGAAGGCCACTGCAGGCAACTCTGCGGGGAGAGAAGAGGGCCCTGTAAGGGGTGGCTTGCAGAGGTCTGGCGCTCCTCCCATTTGAAACCAGAAGGGCCAGTGGCTGCCAAGTTTTCCTTTGCCTCTATGGCTCTACTGCCCATGTGATCTCAGAAGAGAGGAGTCTAGATGTCTTCTGCATCTCCTTCCTACCTGCTAAAGCAAAACCACATTTGAAGAGAAAATGTAAAGAGGGAGGCCGGCCATAACAGGCATGAAAACACTAGGAACACATAATGCCTACATTAAGATCCCAGCCCCACCTTCTGGAAAGACAGTAAAAGATCAGTGGTGGGTAGAGGGTGGACTGCGGGGGTGGGGGGGAGGATGTGGAGAGCTTGGAGAATCTGGGGAGTGGGTAGCGATGAAACTATTACCTGACACCATGGTGGCAGGTGCCTGTAATTACACATGTCAGGATCCTCTGGGTATAAATGGGTGTCTCTGTGGCTTGTTTGTTACACATGGAACATGCTGGCGGGTGCTGATAGCAGAGGAGGCTGAGAGATATGGCAGGAGACATGGAGCAGTGCTCTATACTTCCTGTCCAAGGCGGCTATGAAGCTGAAACATTCAAAACTGAAGTCTGGGATTGAGTAGTCCAGCAAGATGCCAGGGGACTGTCTGAAAAGGACTCCAAGTTCTGCCTGAGCCTTCTAGTGTCAGTGACAGACATAAAGCAACTCTTCTGTTGAGAAATGTCACTGGGAGGGGCTTCCCACTGAGGTCCAGCAGTACTGAGGTCAGGTTAGAATCTGGGAAATCAGAACTCGTGACAATGACAGAATCTAACATGTGTGCAGGGGCAGAGGTCTCCTGAGAACTCTGAACATCAGACAGCCTGCCTCACTCCAAGCACAAGGGAGTTCAGAGAGATAGACTTAAGCATCCCAGAGACCCTGTCCTGCATGCATACACAATATTTTCCTGTGGCTTGGGGACAGGTTTTGAGGGTAAAAATCCTGCCTATGGCCTCCCAAAAAAAAAGGAAGAAGAATGTCCTATCTCTATCCCCTATCCCCAAGGAGGGGCCTGAGAAAGTGAGCAGGGCTGTCCCTGTGCTCCCCACATAGTCTGCAGTGTTTCGCAGTGTACTGTGGTCCAGGCTACATCATCAGGGGTCAGTTTAAAGAAGAAGATTAGCTAGCTTCCCAGGTATTCCTGGAAGACCACATTTGTTCCAAACTCTTTACTCAACATGTGATTTGCTTTTGTGGACAAGTCTAGAGTGGGACACGATGCTGTTTTCATTTCCATTTCACAGTGGAGGCCATGGAGAATTTAAGTAATGTGTCCTTATGATGTTATTTACCACCCAAGGGCCTACACTTTGAACATCTACACTTTATTTCAAACAGTGGCCCCTAAAATGGATTTTATTGTTTTTATTGTTGGGGAGATGAGTCAGATGATAGGAGTTGCCCTGCAAGTGCAAGAACCTGAGTTTGATCCCCATAACACACATGAAATTCCAGGAAAGATGGCACAAGCTTGTGATTCCAATGCCGGGGAGGTAGAAACACAAGATTCCTGCAGTTGCCAGAGGACAGCCTAGTGAAATCAGCAATTTCCATGTCAAAGTCAGGGAATTTGCCTTACCAAAACAAGTGGAGAATGAAAGGAAAAGACTCAAAGTTGATTTTCCCCCTACATATGCCTGAATACATAGCATACCCACACACACACACACTCACCCTTAAACAGATACAAACACACGTACCCACATGAATGATTTCATAAAATGTAGTTGTTTTGCAATGAGTATGACTCTCTGCTACACCAAGATACAAACCTTGGTGATGGTGGAGATTCAATTCTCCAGCTGTTGTGACTCATGTCCCTGTCTGGGGAAAATGTTCTTCTTTTGAAATAAACTGCCAGAATGGATCAAATATGGGAATGTGCGTAGACAGTAAAGCCCACACGACTATAAGAGGTAAACAAAAGAGAGAAGAAACCAGTGTATGCATGCACAGAGGACTGGACAGCATTAGGAGCCGTGAGTGGGGACCCAGAGACCACATCTCTGCCTACAGTTTGATTGACAGGAGAAAGCTAGTAGGTAGGGAAGTGTCAGGGCTGAGGGACAAGGTGCTGTGAGGGGCTCAGTAGATTAAGGGTAATACTCAAGTTCTCCCCTCCCTATTGCTGTGTTCCAGAACCATGAGACTAGCAAAAGTGAGCCTGGCCTTCACCTGGGGAGCTATCATGTTGGTGCTTCAGACGGCAGGCACAGAACCTGCTATGAGGCCTCCTCATGACAAAGCTAAGGTGTTTGCAGATCTGAGCACCCAGGAGATAAAGGCTGTGCACAGCTTCCTGATGAACAGGAAGGAGCTGGGGCTCCAGCCATCCAAGAATGTGACTTTGGCCAAGAACTCTGTGTTTCTCATTGAGATGCTACTGCCCAAAAAGAAGCATGTGTTGAAATTTCTGGATAAAGGAAGAAAAAGACCTATCCGGGAAGCCAGGGCCATCATTTTCTTTGGTGCCCAGGAGCATCCCAATGTCACCGAGTTTGCTGTAGGGCCCCTGCCATCGCCATACTACATTCGAGAACTGTCCCCCAGGCCAGGGCACCATCTGTCTTGGTCATCCAGACCCATCTCCACGGCAGAGTATGACCTCCTCCATCGCACCCTGAAGAGAGCCCTCGCACCTCTGCATCAGTTTTTCCTTCATACCACTGGCTTCTCATTCCTGGACTGTGATGCCCGGTGCTTGACTTTTACCGATGTGGCCCCTCGAGGTGTGGAGTCTGGTCAGCGTAGAAGCTGGATAATCATACAGCGCTTCGTGGAAGGCTACTTCCTGCACCCCATGGGTCTGGAGATCCTTGTGGATCACCGAAGCACAGATGTCCAGGACTGGAAAGTGGAGCAGGTCTGGTATAATGGCAAGTTCTACAACAGCCCAGAGGAACTGGCTCAGAAATACACAGATGGAGAAGTGGACACGGTGGTCCTTGAGGACCCACCGCCTGATGGCACAGAGCAGTCCCCACTCTTCTCTTCTTATATGCCCCGAGGGGAATTCCCCACGCCCATCACTGTGGCTGGCCCCCACGTTGTACAGCCCAGTGGCTCCCGATACAAGTTGGAGGGCAACACTGTGCTCTATGGAGGCTGGAGCTTCTCTTATCGGCTAAGATCCTCTTCTGGGCTGCAGATCTTTAATGTGCTCTTTGGAGGTGAGCGTATCGCCTATGAGATCAGTGTGCAAGAGGCCGTGGCACTGTATGGTGGACACACACCAGCAGGCATGCAAACTAAATATATTGATGTTGGCTGGGGTCTGGGCAGTGTCACCCATGAGTTGGCCCCTGGCATTGACTGTCCAGAGACTGCTACTTTCCTGGACGCCTACCACTATTATGACAGTGATGGCCCTGTCCATTATCCACGTGCTCTCTGCCTTTTTGAGATGCCCACAGGAGTCCCCCTTAGGCGCCACTTTAACTCTAACTTTAAAGGTGGCTTCAACTTCTATGCGGGTTTGAAGGGGTATGTGCTGGTTCTTCGGACAACATCAACAGTCTACAATTATGATTATATCTGGGATTTTATCTTCTACCCTAATGGTGTAATGGAAAGCAAGATGCATGCCACTGGATATGTCCATGCAACCTTCTATACCCCTGAGGGACTGCGCCATGGCACTCGCCTACAAACCCACCTGCTTGGCAACATCCACACTCACCTAGTGCATTACCGTGTTGACCTGGATGTGACAGGTAGGACTCAGTACCAGACCCTCTCAGTCACTCGGCTGCTTCTTATGGATAGATTCACTGCACAAGGGGTGGGTTGAGACTCTGAGTCACATCAGGGTTTTTATTTCTGTCTGCTTCCTAGCAATATAAAGCAGCATGTGACCCTGACAAATGGAGGCAGTGAACAGTGCCCTAGGGTGACCTGTATGTGTGGTGAGCTGAGTGGGTTGGTATACATGGAGTGAGGAAGACGTATGTATCAGGGTGGGTAACAGATTCTGAATCCTAGTACTTTGAAATGGGGCCCAGTGCCATCTGGGGCTGCTCAGTGTGTTTCATGGATAAATGGTGGCTCCACGTCTAATGTCAGATTTGAGCGCAGGGCAAGGCCACAGAGACCAGTTGAATGGCTTCCACATATTTGCCCCCCCCCCTTGACTTCTGACCGATTGTACACTGACAGTCCTGTACAAATATGGCTGCCTCTGGGCCAAGGTTTAGAGCACAGAAGCCAGACAGAAGGAATAGCTCTCCAGTGATCTGCAAGGTATCATGTGCATGCACCACGTGCCATGACTGGCCTGTGAACTGTCTCTAACTCCTCTGGCTTAATTTCCTTTGTCACTGCCATCACCTTGGTGCCCTACCACTATGCCAGTGCTTGTCCTTGGCTCTGCATCTTCTTTACTGCTGTTCTGGATGTGGTCTGGGATGCACATTTTATGAACAGTGAGGTTTCTCTTCCAGTATTTGAGTGTCACCCCCCCATTGCCTCTCATGCTCCCCAGGCACAAAGAACAGCTTCCAGACACTGAAGACAAAGCTGGAAAACATCACCAACCCCTGGAGCCCAAGTCACTACCTGGTCCAGCCCACACTCCAGCAGACTCAGTACTCCCGGGAGCGCCAGGCTGCATTCCGCTTTGGACAGACTCTGCCCAAGTACCTTCTCTTTAGCAGCCCCCAAAAGAACCGTTGGGGCCACAGGCGCAGCTACCGCCTGCAGATCCACTCTATGACTGAACAGGTGCTGCCACCAGGCTGGCAGGAAGAGCAGGCTGTCACTTGGGCCAGGTGAGGAGACCCAAGGAGGGCCAGGAGTTCTCTTCAATGATTGTGTGTGCCTGATGGTGCTTCTGTCCTCCAGACTCTGAGTCTGTGCATGCTTGTGGGTATGCGTTCTCAGGCACTTGGGGAAGGTGGGTGGGGTGGTGCTCCCAGGAATCCTGGCCCTTGCATGCTGATGGACATTCTTGAAGTCTCCCATTCTGTAAAAGCAACAATTTCCCCATCTTTGACCCTGAAGATGTCCCTGGAAGGGCGGAACGGCAGCCTTAATGGCCAGAGCCACTTGACGTGTCTTTTCTGCAGGTACCCCCTAGCTGTGACAAAGTATCGGGAGTCTGAGCGTTGCAGCAGCAGCATCTATAACCAGAATGACCCCTGGGATCCCCCCGTGGTCTTCGAGGAGTTCCTCCAGAACAATGAGAACATTGAACAGGAGGTACTGACCCCAACCCCATCCCTGCCCATCTCAGGTCTTGTGGTCCTAGAAGTGTGGTTTTTCTAGTACGTGGTAAGTTAGACCCATCCACCTCTCTAATGGGACAGAGACTCAGAAACTTATAGAGACATCTTTCAAGACACAAGCCAAACTGCCCTCCGACGGCTGGTACTCAGCCCTGCCCTGCCCTGCCCACTGAAACCTTTCTCTCTCCCACAGGATTTGGTGGCCTGGGTGACAGTAGGATTCCTGCACATCCCCCACTCAGAGGATGTCCCCAACACAGCCACACCTGGGAATTCTGTGGGCTTCTTTATCTGGCCCTTCAACTTCTTCCCAGAGGACCCATCCCTGGCATCTAGAGACACTGTGATAGTGAGGTCACAGGGCAAAGGCCCCAACTATGTCCAGCACTGGATTCCTGACAACACAGCCTGCTTGATGTCTCCTCCTTTCAGCTACAATGGGACCTACAAGCCTGTGTGAAGTGTCTTACCCCAGAGCCCCACAGGGACAGAAATAACCCTTCCATCTCTCCCCTGTGTGCTGCTTTATAGCAGCAGGGGGAGGGCTAGCCAAGGCTCTAGTCAAAATTGCACCTGCGAAAGACTTCCATGACCCCAGCAGTTTCATACTGTCTAGATACCTGGACTTGAGGACCCAACTGGGAAACCAGAAAAGGCTGAGCAGAGCAGGATTATCCCATTCTTGCTTCACAGCCTCTCCTCATAGGACCTCTGATGATGAACTAGGGTCAAAACTCCATCATCAAAGTTTACTTTAAAGAGATATGCTCAATATTCGATTTTTAATCTCTACATCTTTCAGGACATTGTGGTGATTTGAATAAAGATAGCCACCATAGGCCCATGGGGAATACACTATTAGGAAGTATGTCTGTGTCGGAGTAGGTGTGTCATTAGGAGGTGGGCTTTGAGGTCTCAGAAACTCAAGCCAACTTTCTTCCTGCTGTCTGCCTTCACTAGCACCTGTACATTGTGATGTTTCCTGTCATGACAATAATGGACTAAACCTCTGAAACTGTAAGCCAGCTCTAATTAAAGGCTTTCCTGTGAGTGGCCATGTGAGTAGCAGCAGGTGGCAACTGAAATCAGCCCACCCTGAGGCAAATTCCTGATGGGTGAATCTCAGAGAGGCAAGGCCCCAAGACCACAGACCACAGAATGCCTTTACTTCTGCTATGCCTTTACATGGTTGCTGCTGCCCTCTTTCTCTCGTGTCTGGCATGGCATGAATGGGTGTGGGGAGATCCCCCACTGCCTGTAATGTAGAGTAATCTCAAGGAAGCATACCATTCTACTGGGCATTTTTACCTGTGGATTACTATGAAGATGATTTCTTCTTTTGCTGTACTGTCTAATTGATAATAATAATGTTAGTTTAAATAGAGTTTTGATGATAAAGAATATAAACAAGGGAGTGTCACTCAGCTAGAACACATGAGTTTCTATTGAGGAGCTAAGTACTCTATGGCTTAGGTTAATGATTAAGAAAAACAATTGAGCCCCAGTAGCCCAGCTAGCTTAAATTCTTTTAACCTTAATGTTGGGAGGTGTGTTCACAGGTTTCGGAGTGCACCATAGCAGAAATAAAGCTTTGAAAATACATTAAAGTTAGACTAAGATATTGTTGTTAAATAGCTTTGAGATGAAAAACCCAAGAAGACAATTTGAAATTTTAGAAAGGCACATATTTGAATGAGGAACTCATTAGGGTCAGGGAACAGGAACAAAACAGCCCAATTATCATTACCTGATGTGCCTTTCTTGCTAGGATTGGTTGATGACCAAAGGTGATGATTAATACCTTATACCCATTTCTCCCCTCAATCTCCTGATATAAGAAATCATTGATTAGTGAATATGCACCCTAAAGACTTAAAGTGCAGTTGACTGGCTTTTTTATGTATAAAATTTTGGGTTTGTGGTTTCTTTAAGGTTCCTTATAAGATTACCTTCCAAGATAAATAATAAAATCATTGATTCTTTCTTTGTAAATACAATATTCAACCTCACAACAAAAGAGATGGCTGAGAAAAAAAAATACTTTCTGCTGCTCCTGTTCTATTAATGTGTAACAAGTTACTTAGATGTAAATGTATGTGGGTTACTGGGGTGACTTTGTTTTAAGTCATGTAAGGGAGATAAAAAAACATGTTTCTACCTGCAATTATTCACTTGAAAAATAAAATGTAAGCACATTGTAATTCCTGTGTTGCCTGAAAGATTTTGTTGGGGTATATAAGCATACCGTAGAAGAATTGAGAATAAAGAAGGAAACCATTAAGGAAGGAAACCCCCTCAGATAGAAATGTATAGTAAATACAGACTCTGTCGATTTCCCTTTGAGCCCTGTTCTGCTGGAGGCTGGTCCCCCAGGCAGTGATACTTTCCATTATAAGAGTTGCTGTGTTTTCGAGAAAATCAACAAGATAGACAAACCTTTATCCAAACTAACAAAAAATCAGAGAGAACATGCAAATTAACAAAATCAGAAACGAAAAGGGGAACATAACAACGGACACAGAGGAAATCCAGACAATTTTCAGGTCATACTTTGAAAACCTGTATTCTACAAAATTTGAAAATTCAAAGGAAATGAACAAATTTCTGGATAACTATCACTTACCAAAATTAAATCAAGAACAGACAAACAACTTAAATAGACCTATAACCCCTAATGAAATAGAAGCAGTCATCAAAAGCCTTCCAACGAAACAAAAAGCCCAAGGCCAGATGGCTTCAGTGCAGAATTCTGCCAGAAATTCAAGGAAGAACTAATACCAATACTCCTCAAATTGTTCTACACAATAGAAACAGAAGGTTCATTACCAAACTCTTTCTACGAAGACACAATCACTTTGGTACCCAAGCCTCACAAAGACACACTAAGAAAGAAAACTACAGACCAATATCCCCGATGAACATCGATGCAAAAATACTCAATAAAATACTGGCAAACTGAATCCAAGAATACATCAGAGAAATCATCTACCATGACCAAGTAGGCTTCATCCCTGGGTTGCAGGGATGGTTTAACATACAAAAATCTATCAACATGATCCACCATATAAACAAACTGAAAAAGAAAAATCATATGATCATCTCCCTAGATGCTGAAAAATCCTTCGACAAAATTCAAAACCCTTTCACGATAAAGGTCTTGGAGAGATTAGGGATAACAGGAACATACCTAAATATAATAAGAGCAATATACAGCAAACCAACAGCCAACATCAAACTGAATGGAGAGAAGCTTAAGGTGATTCCTCTAAAATCAGGAACAAGACAAGGCTGCCCTCTCTCTCCATATGTCTTCAATATTGTACTTGAAGTACTAGCTAAAGCAATAAGACAACAAAAGGAGATCAAGGGGATACAAATTGGAAAGGAAGAAGTCAAACTGTCTCTATTTGCAGGTGATATGATAGTTTACATAAGTGACCCAATAAACTCTACCAACTCCTAAAGCTGGTAAACACCTTCAACAAACTAGCAGGATACAAGATAAACTCAAAAAAAAAAAAATCAGTAGCCCTGCTTTATTCAGACAACAAAGAGACTGAGAAAGAACAAAATAAACATAAAGTATCTTGGTGTAACGCTTACCAAACAAGTAAAAGACCTATATAATAAGAATTTTGTGGCTCTAAAGAAAGAAATTAAAGAAGATACCAGAAAATGGAAAGATCTCTCATGCTCTTGGATAGGTAGGATAAACATAGTAAAAATGGCAATCTTGTCAAAAGCAATCTACAGATTCAATGCAATCCCCATTAAAATCCCATCACAATTCTTCACTGACCTTGAAAGGATAATAATCTACCTTATATGGAAAAAAAGACCCAGGATAGCCAAAACAACCCTGTACAATAAAAGAACGTCAGGAAGCATCACCATCCCTGACTTTAAGCTCTATTACAGAGCTATAGTTCTGAAAACAGCCTGTATTGGCACAAAAATAGACAGGTAGGCCAATGGAATCGAATAAAAAAAAAATCTTGATATAAACCCACACACCTATGAACACCTGATTTTCAACAAAACAGCTAAAAGAAAACAATGGGGGGAGGAAAGCATCTTCAACAAATGATGCTGGCACAATTGGATGATGGTGTGTAGAAGACTGCAGATAGACCCATGTCTGTTGCCATGCACAAAACTCAATTTGATCCAAATGGATCAAAGACCTCAACATAAATCCAGCCACACTGAACCTCTTAGAAGAGAAAATAGGAGGTACCCTTGAACAAATTGGTATAGGAGACCACTTCCTGAACATAACTCCAGTAGCACAGACACTGAGGTCAACAATTAATAAATGGGACCTCCTCAAACTGAGAAGCTTCTGTAAGGCTAAGGACACGGTGGACAAGACCAAACGGCAGCCCACAGACTGGGAAAAGATTTTCACCAATCCTACATCTGACAAAAGGCTGATCTCCAAAATATACAAAGACCCCAAGAAACTAGTCAACAAAACACCAAATAACCCTATTAAAAAATGGGGTACAGAACTGAAGAAAGAATTCTCAATAGAGGAAATCAAAAAGGCTGAAAGACACTTAAGAAAGTGCTCAACATCCTTAGCTATCAGGAAAATGCAAATCAAAACAACTCTGAGATACCATCTTACTCCTGCCAGAATGGCTAAATTTAGAAACACCAATGACAACTTATGCTGGAGCGGATGTGGAGAAAGGGAACACTCCTCCCCTGCTGGTGGGAGTACAAACTCATACAGCCATTTTGGAAATTAGAATGGTGGTTCCTCAGGAAAATGGAAATCAGTCTACCACAGGACCTGGCAATCCCCCTCTTAGGCATATACCCAAATGATCCACATCCATGCAACAAAGACATGTGTTCAACTATGTTCATAGCAGCATTATTTGTAATAGCAAGAATCTGGAAGCAACCTAGATGCCCCTCAACTGAAGAATGGATAAAGAAGATGTGGCACATCTACACAATGGAATACTACTCTGCAGAAAAAAAAAATAATGGAATCTTGAAATTCGCAGGCAAGTGGATGGCACTTGAAGAAACCATCCTGAATAGGTAACCCAGTCACAAAAAGAGGAACATGGTATGTACTCACTCATATGGATTTTAGACCTAGAGCAAAGGATCACCAGCCTATAATTCACACCACCAGAGGAACTAGGATACAAGGTATATTCCAAGAGATTCATATAAAGCTCCTCACAGAAGGGGGAAGGGACAAGTCCCCCAGAGCACATGGGAAGTGGGGGGACAGTAAATGGAGAGAGAAGTAGGAGAAAATGAGGGGGAGGAAAGGAAAACACGTGTGACTAGGAAGGTTGAGCCCAATTAGGAATAGAAGACAGGAAAGAGAGAGAGAGAGAGAGAGAGAGAGAGAGAGAGAGAGAGAGAGAGAGAGACCATAAAAGAGGGAGCCATTATTGGTTTGAAGAGAAAACTGAACCTAAAGAAAGGTCTAGAGACCTACAAG